AAAACTTTTTAAAAACACCATGATTTTAAACATAACTAACCGTCATTAATTTACCAAAGTTGGGATTATCAGATGTGGGTCCTGCAGTACAATTGCCACTCCAACACACCGGATACAACCAGTTCATTGATAAACCATTGAAACCGTATTTCTTAAGATAAGCGATCGTATTCTTAATGAACGCGGCCCTCAGTTTGGGGCCACTAATCATGGCGGACATGGGCTGATCAGGCATGCCCGACCCACCTAGCACCACCATTAATTTGAGTTTACTGTTTCGCTTTTTGAGTGTCTTTAAGCTGTTGTAGAGCGCGGGTCGGGCACTGCCGTGAGCGTCAAGGATCACATTTCTGGTGGCGTCCAACCAGTGAAACGCGAAATGAATGTGTGTGCAAAGGGTTGGCTCAAAGTCTTTGGGCGGCAGATCTACGAACCGATACTCGGGGTAAAAACATATTACACGTAGACTTAGGCACAGCGGTAACTGTGCGCATACAAGTGCTATGTATAGCCAGACTTGCATTATAAATGATGATTGCAATTATGATAATGAATTTAACTAACATTAAATCCGGAAAAACAATGCAGCTAATTTTTAATCATTAGTTATAAAACTCACGCAAATATTTTATTTCACCTGTTTCTTAATTAATAAAGTTTATTTTTATTTTTTATTATTTAATTTTACTAATGATTTATTAATTAACGTAAACTGATTTATAAACAATAGTCACATTTACATCATAATTTACTTTATGAAATGTGTTTAAAACCATTACATTTTTAAAATTAATAATTAAGATAAATTGTTCAACTTGTAAAATGTATAAATATAATTTAATTTGCTATTATTGCAAAATTTTAATTAATTTTATAGATAATTTTAATTGCATTTTTTAAAAATACTCGACTATGCCATTTATAAGCTAAATTTTAACCCTTGCTGAGAAATACTTATCCATGAATTTTTTAAACTACAATTCAGCTATCAGTATTGTTTACTACATTTTTATACATACAACCAAAAACTGTAACTTAAATTATAAGTTTGATTTAAACATAGACTCAAAATAATAAGTATTTATTTATGAATTTCAAATCAAATCAAACTTTATTGTGATTCACATTAATAAATATTATTAAAACATATATTTTATTAATTTTAAAATAAAAGTCCATTTAATTGACATATAAAAATAAAACTATTTATGTTCGCAGTTATAGGCGGATGGTCCCTTTCCAGTATTGAACAGAGCATTATTAATCGCCCGGAGCAATGGAAATTTTACCGAGCAGCACTTTTTCTGATCATCCTGACCAATCTCCCACACCATTATACCGCCAAAGCCATGGTCTTTGGCCCATTTGGCCTTGCTACATTAAGCCATAAATAAAATAAAAACTTACAATAAGATAACACAGCACTTACTCATAGGCCTGGAACGGGTCGTCGTAGCCAACCCATATATGATCGTGATAAGCGTATGGGTCGCTACCATAATGGGAATTTCTCAGCTTGGTCCAGCCCTTAGTTTTAACCAAATCGCACAGTTCGCTGTACATGGACTCCCCGTTGTCGCCGGCGGGTGTGTTGCCCACACCCGTAATAGCATTTCCCGCATAGTGTTTGGCCGGGTCTGTCATGGTAAAGCCGCGGCCATAAAACGGCACACCCATCATGATCTTTTGTTTGGGAAAGCCTTTCGCCACGTACGGTAAAGTCCAATTCAAAAATAGACCAAACGCACCATGGTGGCCTAGTTTCTGGTCCCATACGCCGTGCATGTCGTACGTCATAACACACATGTAGTCCAGCGCTCTATCGTTATGGGAAATGTTTATAAATTAATTTGAAATTCCGATCATAACAATTTTTGCTCATTAAAAGTAACATAAAACGATGATTGATAAATTTATTATAATAAAATTATTTAATTAAATATAGTTTGTGTTTCACTCACTTAGCCATTGCTGGAATATCATAGGCCACATCATATCTGCCCGCAACGGCCACCGATACGGCGGCCGACAATAATAGTCGCGGTTTTTGTTTAATGAACGCTTGTCTCAATTCCTATGCAATTATATAAGTCTAAAAATTAGTCATTTGGA